TTGGCAGCTGCCTCTTTATAGTTTATCATTTCTTAGAAATGAAAACCTATAATACAACCTTAGCTACCATTCAGGACTTTCAGGTCGTATGACTAGCAAAAGGCTTTCAAATCTCAATCAATTTACAATACGCTACAGCCCATTGCTGAATCTATTAAGCCTTAGAGATTGAAGATTTACACTCAAACTATATACATTTTTCATCTCAAAACCAATAAACCAACATACAATGGATTACCGTCAAAACTTTCGCGATAAATTATTTTTTATCAAACCAATATCAGTCAATATACTGTAAATTTACTGAGTGATTACTTCAGGCAACAAAAGTATATATATGTGAGATTCTGTAGACTTTATTGTAGTAAATGTGGCGGAACTCATCAGACCAATTGGAATTTGATTTGATCAACGATTAAGTTGTTTAGGCAGTACTTGATGGGTCTATAATTTATGGATGAACTAGTTATATTTAAGTTAAGGACTCTTGGGTTCTTGAGCGAATTTATTTATCCATATGGCTAGATGGTATTTCGGGATTGTAGCTAATGTCAGTTGATGATGATGTGGCGTACTCTACTGATGTCGACGGATATAAGTAGTATGTATCATCAATCGAAAGTGGAATACCTGGAGGCAGAAGGTTAAGAAGATCGAAGGAAGGAGAACTAGAACAGTGAATGACTAGTATGGAAACGAAGGAACAATGAAGTGTAAGACGATTGATTGACATTTTGCAAATGAAGTGTGAAGTGATTCTGTAATTTTGTGTTCAAATACATTCGATTTTCTCCATTTGCGTTGTCGTTCATCACAATGACACCCCTAACTTTAACTGCTAACCAAAAATTCTAACTGTAAGTCTTAATTCTAAGTACTTCTATTAGTTTATAACCCTCTTTTGGTCATATTGTTGTCAGTATAGAGTTGTCATTAGGATTATTAAATGCTATTGATATCGCGAAATAACCTATGTTGGACATAAATTTAAATCTAGGAATCACTGAATGGTTGTTTCTGATGACGAGCCGTAATCATTGTAGTTCAAATGTATCGGGTGTGTGGTGCTTATTTGTTGAAAACGATGGAAGAAGGTTGTATGATGTTACGAATTGATTGAAGTTAAACTTGTACACTACTGAATTCCGGCTCAGTAGTCTAAATTTCGAGAATTCGCAACGAGATCTAAGGTCTTGGTTTCAATCCCCTGTAGCGAGGTTGTGGGTGTGCACCTTTGCGAAGCCTCATACTAGAACGAAATTGTTGTCCAGTGTTTCCTAGTCTTCAGTGGATGTCTCACTTCAGTCAGTTCATTAAATCAATGAAATTCCTTTGATGTCGACCAAATAATATATTGCTTCGCTAGGAAATTATTTGACCCAATCAAATTTATTCTTCAGTCACTTATAAATATACCGACCGTTTTGTGAATAAAATTTCAACTTGAAAAAAATAATATCTTGAAGTGGTAATAGTGTGGTGTACGCTACTTATGCTTACAGATATAAGTAGTATGTAGCACCAATTAGAAGTGGAATGCTCGTCAACAGAAGATTGAATTGAAGAGAACAGAAAGGGCAATAGAGAGCAGCTGTAATAACAACAGTCAGTCAGTCAGTCAGCTACAACGTAGGACCAGGCATATTTATGCATCGGTCCAACTTGCCATACCTCGTTAGCACAACAACATGAACACCGAATTCATAGAAGTTGTTAATTTAGTGGTGGTAGTATATAAAAGATAGGTTGTATATAATGATATAGTATAGGTAGGAAAAAATTTATTTATTTTATTTATTTATTTTTATCTCAAGGTTTAAGGGAAGATAAAGAGTGTATACACCGACGCCATTGTGATCGATTCTGAGCCATGTCACACAGTCTCCAACTATTGGTTACGATGACAACGGAAGAAAGATGTGCAAATAACATCATTTAATGTATGATTTCCATATTGTACTAGTGCACTCTGAAATTGTTCATCAAAACAATAAATTTACCCATCTAAGTTTTTGTTAACTACAGTGGAGCCAGTGATACATACTACCGAGGAGTTTCGTTTTTAAAGCTCCAATCAACAATACACCATTTTCATGGTTCAATAAGTACACTAATCTATTTGCTGTATTCATCAAAGATTAATATCTGTCAGGATACCATTGGAAACCAGAAAAAACTAGATAACTGTTTCGTCCTAGTATGAGAATCCTCAGCAGAAAGTACTTACGAACTCACAAGGCATCAGATCCAAAATCTTCAAGTCCGTAAACCAAACCTTACAAAATCACTTCAATTATACTGTGGTGTGGGTTACTTATAGCCACATAAGTAGTATATGGTGATGGTCAGGCATAGAATGTATTTCACTAGAAGATTGATAAGGAAAGAACTGTAAAGGAACGCAATTAGTATGAAAATGTATGAACAGTTAAATCAGAGAAGATGGACTGATATTTACAGAAGGAACAGTGAGGATTGAGACAATTGATTGTTATTTTTCAAATTAACTATTTACTGTATTAATTATAGAAGGGGTTTTGTGGAGATTTAGTATTTATCATTGTTGAAAGCGTGAGTCAATTGAAGCTAGACCACCATGGAAAACCTGGAAACACTGGACGGCCGTTTCGAAGACAATTGGTGAATGGTTGCTCAACTTCGTGGATCAGTTGAAGTTAGACATTAACACCGTTGGATGCCAGCTCAGTGGTCTATCGGTTAAGGGCTTCGGCTCGAGACTGGTAGGTCCTGGGTTCGAATCTCGCTCGCGAGAGCAGATTCGTGGATGCGCACTGCTGAGGAGTCCCATAATAGGACGAAACGGCCGTCCAGTGTTTCCAGGTTTTCCATGGTGGTCTAGCTTCAATTGACTCACGCTTTCAACAATGATAAATATTTACTGTATGTTGGTCAGATTTTAGTGGGATAGTCTGTAATTTTCGTGTCTAATGCACTCGATTACCCTCAATCCTATTCTTGTTCACTACAATACCATTGTAATCAACTCACCAGTGACTCACTTCAAGAAGAAGTTCTGATGCCAAATCGTTACTTACTTACTTACGTTTGTTACTCTCAATGGAGCATAGGCCGCCGACCGGCATTCTCCAACCCACTCTGCCCTAGGCCTTCCTTTCTAGTCCTATCCAATTTTTGTTCATTTTTCTCATGTCTGTCTCCATTTTTCGGCATAATGTGTTCTTTGGTCTTCCTTTTCTCCTTTGGCCGGTCCCAAGCCCGGGTAAAGGAGGAGGGTTGAGCATGGTGTTAGCGACCCAATCTCGTAGAAAACCAACTCGTTAAAAAACGCTAACCAGATGAGAAATCGTAACTGGTAGATTTCAGACATACTTTAAGTAAAACAGTTGTTTGACAGTTGTATTTGATGTTCGTCATGCTTTATCACTGATTAATGGAAATTCGAAACTACACCATTGTATGGTAGTGGCCAATTAATTTAAATGATCAGGTGATTGCTTCTAGACCTGAAGGTCATGCATTCGATTCGTGGTTGGATAGTGCGTGGGCGTTGCATGGTGTTTAATATTAGAACTAGGCAGCTATTTCTGTTTTTCAATGGTATCCAAATTGGTATTAATTGATGATGAATACAACCCATAAATTAAACTTATTTCCACAAAATCCAATCAACACATACTGTCTTGGCAAGCTTTTTAACTGATACAATCAGCAAAAACAAACAGTATTCGTAAATTTTATTCAAAAAGAGTCATGTCTTTTTAACTTAACAGCTTTATTCCATCTTAATTTACTGAAATATCAGAATCAGGAAACGGTACGGTTTGCCTGATAAAATTCAGTAAGCTTATAAAAGGATTAGACAAAGGCATTATTGATTTTGAAAAACTAAGTAAAAGTAGCTCACTCGTTAGGTACTATGGTCTAAGTTACGCCCAAAGTGTAGTGATTAATGATACTTCCAAGTTTTTTGAAATTAAGTAGGTGTGAAGGGGTTTCGAACCCTTCACCAATGAGCCACCATTTCAATGATTATTGAGTAAGAATGTATTTCTATATGATTATAGATTTTGGAAAATTTTATAACCCACCTAAAATCATCATATATTTATTTATGTTTTCGTGAATTTTTTATAGTCATAACGACACCCTACTTGACTTAGTTTCCTTGATATTTAATTCTAGTCAATGAAACATGCCTGTCATCTCGAGAGAACTGATGTTCACAAATAGATTTTAACCTAGACTATCATACTATTTGAACCACAACTGACTTCCTTTTTTTTGATGGAGCTTTCTTCTCTGAGCTGGGTGGATTGATCATGGAGCTTTCATCATCCTTCTGAACGACATCATCAGCACAAACTTTGGGTAGAATTGAACTGTTTGTATTTGTGCTGATGATGTCGTTCAGAAGGATGATGAAAGCTCCATGATCAATCCACCCAGCTCAGAGAACAAAATTCCATCAGAATGATCATCCACCTGAGCTACGAATCTTCCATTATAACTGAGAGTGTTTTTTTTCGACTACTGAATAATTAATCCATTTAAAATTATTACAATCTATTTACCCCTTAGTTATTAAGATTAAAGTTGATGAAGATTATCATTACTTGATTAGTTCACTAATTCAATATAAGTTCATCAAACAACTTACTTATAGATGAATAATATTACTGATCATTTTACAAAAGTAATATATATATATATATATATATATATATATTTTTCATTATTGAAAGCGTGAGTCAATTGAAGCTAGACCACCATGGAAAACCTGGAAGCATTGGACGGCCATTCTGTCCTATTATGGGACTCCTCAGTAGTGCTCACCCACGATCCCGTCACGTGAGATTCGAACCTAGGACCTACCAGTCTCGCGCCCACAATACGACGAAACGGCCGTCCAATACTTCAAGGTTTTTCCATAGTGGTGTAGCTTCAATTGACTCATGCTTTCAACAATGAAAATATTGAAATCCCTACAAAACCCTTTGTTATATAGAAATATAACTTACTTCCATTAGTTTCTAGTTGTAATGTATTAGATTTCTGAATGTTTTTTCCTTATATATTTAAAATCCAATTATTATTATATATCCATTATATCTTCGATAAGTATGATGTAACAACATTCAATGAACAATTCTTCTTCTAAGTATCCAACTGAACAGTTGATGATGTTTCTTCTTCTTCTTCTTCTTCTTCTTCTTCTTCTTTTTTCTTCTATGATTATTAATTAGTCATTAGGTCAGGGATAGAATAGATTCTCAGTTATTATTATTATTCTTGTTACTAAGACACTATTTATTGTTAAGACTTCCTTTATACATCATTATTGTTATTGATGAATACTTTATTATTATAATTATATTCCTTTATATGTAATATATTGATAATGTTAAAATATGAATGAAAAATTTTTCTAAAACCACCTACGCATATTATTGATACACAATATTTTACAATAACAAATCAGATTGCAAAATCAATGGGCAGCAACAAAAACAACAACAACAGCAACAACAAAAAATAGAATACTGATAGATACATAGATATCCCAGTCATTTTATTCTTCGCCAAATATGTATGTCTATTTATATATATATATATACATGTGTGTGTGCGTGTGTACAGATTTGTGTTTATGTGTATGTCCATTTATATATACTTATTCCATATATATATATTTATATTAGTATGCTAGACACGTACATATCTTTTTCTCCTTAAAAGAATGTAGTAAGACAGGTAATATAAAAGGAGGATAGATTAATGAACGAGAGACAAACACACTTGACATATACACAAAAACCTGTAAGATAAATTATTATTATTATTATTATGATTTGATATCCATAGCCATAGAATGCCACTATTTTATTTCTATACTGATATCAGGTAACTAAACAAATTGGTTAAAACTAATTGAGGGATTATTTGTAGCTTAGTTAGTTAGTTAGTTAGTTAGTTAGTTAGTTAGTTAGTTAGTTAGTTAGTTAGTTAGTTAGTTAGTTAGTTAGTTAGTTAGTTAGTTAGTTAGTTAGTTAGTTAGTTAGTTAGTTAGTTAGTTAGTTAGTTAGTTAGTTAGTTAGTTAGTTAGTTAGTTAGTTAGTTAGTTAGTTAGTTAGTTAGTTAGTTAGTTAGTTAGTTAGTTAGTTAGTTAGTTAGTTAGTTAGTTAGTTAGTTAGTTAGTTAGTTAGTTAGTTAGTTAGTTAGTTAGTTAGTTAGTTAGTTAGTTAGTTAGTTAGTTAGTTAGTTAGTTAGTTAGTTAGTTAGTTAGTTAGTTAGTTAGTTAGTTAGTTAGTTAGTTAGTTAGTTAGTTAGTTAGTTAGTTAGTTAGTTAGTTAGTTAGTTAGTTAGTTAGTTAGTTAGTTAGTTAGTTAGTTAGTTAGTTAGTTAGTTAGTTAGTTAGTTAGTTAGTTAGTTAGTTAGTTAGTTAGTTAGTTAGTTAGTTAGTTAGTTAGTTAGTTAGTTAGTTAGTTAGTTAGTTAGTTAGTTAGTTAGTTAGTTAGTTAGTTAGTTAGTTAGTTAGTTAGTTAGTTAGTTAGTTAGTTAGTTAGTTAGTTAGTTAGTTAGTTAGTTAGTTAGTTAGTTAGTTAGTTAGTTAGTTAGTTAGTTAGTTAGTTAGTTAGTTAGTTAGTTAGTTAGTTAGTTAGTTAGTTAGTTAGTTAGTTAGTTAGTTAGTTAGTTAGTTAGTTAGTTAGTTAGTTAGTTAGTTAGTTAGTTAGTTAGTTAGTTAGTTAGTTAGTTAGTTAGTTAGTTACTTACTTACTTACTTACTTACTTACTTACTTACTTACTTACTTACTTACTTACTTACTTACTTACTTACTTACTTACTTACTTACTTACTTACTTACTTACTTACTTACTTACTTACTTACTTACTTACTTACTTACTTACTTACTTACTTACTTACTTACTTACTTACTTACTTACTTACTTACTTACTTACTTACTTACTTACTTACTTACTTACTTACTTACTTACTTACTTACTTACTTACTTACTTACTTACTTACTTACTTACTTACTTACTTATACCTATTACCCTTTGTAAAGGAGCATAGGTTTTTCACTACCATTCTCTTTACAACTCGGTACTAGATAATCTTTTACAATTGTTTCCATGGCCAATTCATCCTACTCACGTCTAATTCTAATTGTCAATGTAGTGTGTTTTTCGGTCTTCCGCTTTTCCGTTTCTCTTCTGGATTCCATGTTAGTGCTTTGATTCGTGATTCAGTTTGATGATTTCTTCAATGTGTGTCCTATCCACTTCCAACATCTTTTCTGAATTTCCTCTTCAGATGGAATCTGGTTTGTTCTCCTCTCCCATAGTAGACTGTTACTGATAGTATCCGATCAACAGACATTGAGTATGTTGTATAGACAATTGTTTATAAGTACTCGTACCATTTTGATGATTGTTGTAGTAGTTGATGAAGTTTCAGCTCTATTTATTAGAACTATCTTGATGTACGTTTTGAAGATTGTGACTTTGATATTGTCATAGTTGAAATCAGGAGTCAATTGAAGCTAGATCACCATGGAAAAACTGGAAGCACTAGATGGCCGTTTCGTCCTATTATGGGATTCCTCAGCAGTGCGCATCCACGATCCCACCTCTCGAGATTCGAACCCAGGACCTACCAGTCTCGTACCAGAGAACTTAAACGATAGACTACTGAGCCGGCCGATATCCAACGGCGTTAATGCCTAACTTCAATCAATCCACAATGTTTGATATTGGTTGACAGACAGTTGTTTTGAGTTTTATATATTCTTCAATTGTACGAATGGTGTCCTTGTTTTGTCAATCCTTACCATTACGTGTGTATCAGATCCTCCACATTCACATGGATTGTAGCTTAATTGCCTTAATTCACACAGATTCAAGGCTTATTTATGTGCCTAATTTTGTAAAATTTCTTGTTTTACATCATTAATTCTTGCTTGTTCTCCTTTTTTTCTCTTTTTATAGATGATCTCTTAGATAATAAAATTGTTTCTCTAATTAAACCCTAGGATATTGAAAAAACTGAAATTATAATTCATTGCTAGACGGTAAATATAGTTCTCCCCCACCAAAAAAAACACTTCTATAGAAACAAGATAGAATAGATACGTGTGTGTGTGTGCATGAGGATTGTTGAAGATTTGCACAGCTAGTAATAGAATCGATGAAGCACATTTCATTCTATTTGAGACTAAATATACATATGTAGACCAAAATTCGAACTGAAATACCTCCTCTTCAAGAAATTAATGCCTTACCTATTAAGATATTGAGACTGCAAATATAACAGCAGCCTCTTTATCAACAGGCCTCAACACACACAAAGGAAAAAGCAAGATTCTCAAATACAACACAGAGAACACCAACCCAATCACACTTGACGGTGAAACTCTGGAAGAGGTGGAAACATTCACATACCTGAGAAGCATCATCTGATGCAAATGTAAAGGCGAGGATTGGCAAAGCAAGGGCAGCATTTCTACAATTGAAGAACATATGGAACTCAAAACAACTGTCTGTCGACCAATATCAAAGTCAGAATCTTCAATACCAACGTCAAGACAGTTAGTTCTACTGTACGGAGCTGAAACGTGGAGAATTACTACATCCATCGTGAAAAAGGTACAAGTATTTATAAACAGTTGTCTTCGCAAAATACTCAACATTCACTGGCTGGATACTATCAGCAACAGGGTTTTATTGGAGAGGATAAATCAACTTCCAGTTGAAGAGGAAATTAGGAAAAGACGTTGGAAGTGGATAGGACATACATTGAGGAAATCACCAAACTGCATCACGAGACAACCCCTAACTTGAAATCCTGATGGGAAACGGAAAAGCGGAAGGCCAAAGAACACATTACGCCGGGAAATCAAAACAGATATGAAAAGGATGAATGTTAACTTGAAAGAACTGGAAAGGATTGCCCAGGACAGAGTTGGATGGAGAATGCTGGTGGGCGCTCTGTGTTCCTCCACGAAAGATAACAGCGCGTAAGTAAGTAGTAAGTAAGTTCAGATATTCTGTAACTTGTTCCACTGTTATTCATTAACGAACTAAAATTTCAGAACTATCCTATGGAAAATTAGTGGAATCCAGGACACGCGTTTTGTCCTATTTGGGATTTATCGGCTGGATGCACTTACACCCCAAAATTGATGTTCACTCCGTGACTTAAACCAAGAGTTATCCCCTTCAAAATCACAAGCCATTGGTTGCCTAGACTCAATAGCCAAGCAGATAATGCGATGGCTTTTGAAGCGAACGGTAATAGGTTCGATTACCTTAGTGGATATAAACAGTTAGATTCAGGTGCATTCATTCGACGAATCTCGGATAGGATGAGATTCGCGTGCTGGATTCCATTGCTAGCCACCATCCATCTACTTAAAGATGTTTACAATTCAATAGCAATATGGACGCAATCCTCAATCGGATTTCTAAACAACAATCGAATGATCCAAACAATCAATATAAATAAACCGTGGGAAATGATTGTATAATTATTTAATACTTGGATTATTAGATTTTTCTGTTCCCAGTATTGATGTATATACTGCAGTTATATAATTTTTCTTCCCTATATTACTGTTAATTAATCGTGCACCATTTAATCAATTTTCTCTTATCTATGTCAGATTCTTGTAAACATTTTAATTTTCATAGTTAAAAGCGTCAGTCGATTGAAGCTAGATCACCATGAAAAACCTAGAAGCACTGGAAGGCCGTTTCGTCTTACTATGGGACTCCTCAGAAGTGCGCATTCACGGTCCCGCACTCGCGAGATTCGAACCCAGGACCTACCAGTCTTGCGCCAAAACACTTAACCGATAGACCAATGCTGAAGAGTTCCATAATAAGACGAAAAGGCCGTCCAGTGCTTCTAGGTTTTCCATGGTGGTCTAGCTTCAATTGACTCACGCTTTCAACTATAGAAATACTAAATCTTCACAAAACCCCTTCTGATAACATTTTAATTCCTTATTTATTTGCTGTATGGTAATCTATTTGGTATTGACTAGCATGTTATTGTTGAGTTACAATTGAATTGTTCTATAAAAGTCTTATCTGATTGTTATGTTCGTGTTCTGTCAAAGTAGAGGCGGAGCGCTAAACTCCAAAGCAATAGAGATGAAGATATTTGTATATGGTCATTCACTCATCAGTCAAATGAATATCATCATATCACTGAATAGGCAGAAATTTTCTACTCCACTCCTCCTCCAACCACCATCTTATCTCAACATAGTGCACGCAGTGTCAAACCACCTAGACTAGTGACCACATTGCAGCTTGATCGATAGCATTCGATCAGCACTAAGAAGGACTTGACACATATGACACTGATCACCACTTAGTGATCAATCAATTGTTACTACTTCTAGGGTCAATGAAAGAATTCATTAACAACAAACTCATTGATCAACTTATCCTCGAATAAACGACCTAATCACAAAGGTTCCTATACTACAAAGTATGTACTATTTTCCGAATATATAAGATGTACAAAATTCAAATATCATGTACAAGGAGCAGTAGATATACTTTTGTATACCGCTTAAAACGTCCAAGACGACAGAGGCAAATTACTTTATATCATTGTAGAGTAAAAGTGATAGTGTTAAACATATCAAATGCTTAATTTTTCCCTCCTTAGATTGTATATAAGAGGTGAATCAATGCTTTTTAAATCATGACCCTCAACCCTTAATACCAAAATGAATATTAACTTGGTGAAACCGCATTTCATAAACAAACTAATCAGATGGTGTCTCTTGG